CCCTAGGCTGCAGGACTAATATATTTCAGATCCAGCGTTCAGGGGGACGCAAACATACTGAGAAGCATGCAAGCAGTGGCTCTACTGTCCACATCCACCCCCAGGCTGCTCCTGTTGTCTGCAGACACGTTTTGGACACACTCATTCAATTGGCCAAGGTGAGGGGCTTGAAAGAACCCAACTCCCAACTCCTGGGGATGGAAGATGGGTGGCAGCAACAGCTTGGGTGAAATCTGAACATGAGGGGGGGCTAATAGGTTTTTCTCTTTGCTGTTATTTTGAGTGCTAAACCCTGTATTATTTCTATGAAAACTGTCCAATAAATAAATTTGTGGGATTTTTATCTTCACTGTTTACAGTATTATGCGTTGTCTTATTCAGTCATCAAAACAACTGCCTGTGGTCTGTATGATTCCTGTTTTACAGATGAAGAAGCTGGAATTCAGACCATTTTTGTGGACTAGGAAGTGATGGAGCTGGACCTAGAATTTTTAGTTCTGATTCAGTCAGTGCTCTTTCAATAAAGGCATTGCTGCCATGTATTGAGGGCCTGCCTCGTGCCAGGCACTGTGCAAAATACGTTATGTCATTTAATCTCAACAACTTTGCAAGGCAGTATACTTGTCCTCTCTATATAAGTGCAGAGATTGAGGCTCAGGAAAGTTTGCTAATCGTTCTGTTTTGCTACAAAGTCCTTGTTCATTTCTCTGGGCTGCTTTGGCATCTCTTTGATAAAACCCCTATATGACACCTCCCCCTGTGTTACTAAAGCTATCCGAAGGAGAAGAGAGTTTGGGAACCAGTTGTCTTTATCAGGAAGACTTAACCTCAATGGAGACGTCCCTAGACCAAACCTATCCTCCTTTTCCCGGCAGGTATTTCCCAGCCACTTCACACAGCAGCGGACCAAAGAAACAAACTGTGAGAGTGATCGGGAGAGGGGCAGTAAGGCCTGCAGCCCGTGCTCTTCACAATCTACCAGCAGTGGCATTTGCACAGACTTCTGGGACTTACTGGTAAAACTGGACAACATGAATGTCAGCCGGAAAGGCAAGAACTCCGTGAAGTCAGTGCCAGTGAGCGCTGGTGGTGAGGGAGAAACCTCTCCATACAGCCTCGAGGCCTCTCCACTGGGGCAGCTTATGAACATGTTGTCACACCCAGTCATCCGCCGGAGCTCTCTCTTAACTGAGAAACTCCTCAGACTCCTTTCTCTCATCTCAATTGCTCTCCCAGAAAACAAAGTGTCGGAAGCACAAGCTAATTCTGGCAGCAGTGCTTCCTCCACCACTACTGCCACCTCAACCACATCTACCACCACCACCACTGCCACCTCCACTACACCCACTCCCCCTGCTGCAACCACCCCTGTCACTTCTGCTCCAGCCCTGGTTGCTGCCACGGCTATTTCCACCATTGCCGTAGCTGCTTCGACCACAGTGACTACCCCCACGACTGCTACCACTACTGTTTCAAGTAAGTGTGATATAGGGTGGGAGCTGTGGGGTATGTACTGTGTCACCCACTTTACCTCCTCCATCATCCAAGGAGTCCTCCCTAAATGATAGCGAGCAGCTTGATTTGTGTCTATGAAAGCAAAATGTGTTCATTTTGTGTCCTCATCAGTCTCAGTTCTTTCCCTTCTCTTCCTCCTCCTTTTCTCTCTTGCTCTCACACACTCACATCTCCCTCCTCTTATCCCCCCTCCTCCCGCTACACACACACACACACATACACACACACACACACACACACTCACACACATGCAAACACACGCACACACACACCCAGAGACACTCCTGTGAAGCCCAGCAGGCATTCATTGAATGTGGCTTCCCTAGGCTAGGCACCAAAAGGAGAAGAGAATCCTGTCTTGAAGGAACTCCTAGCCTGGTTGAGGGAGCCAGTTCTCATAGGAAAAAATTAATAGCCAGATCATCCCAGAAAATGAAGGGAATGAGCCCTACAGTAGATTAGTAAGAGTTTATCTAAAGAAAGAAGTCGGTTTTATGGTGGTAGGGGAATAGTTGGAAGAAATGCCTGGCGT